TAGGGATCCTTCTATGACTTCTATAAGTATATATACCAGTTTGAAGTGACCTGCACATATATTACAATTATAACCTATTTTTTTAAAGATATGCGTATTTTGTGACGTGTTTTTCTCTGTAGAACTACTTTAATATGAATTATCGCCTACCCAGGCTGTAAGTTTGCATGCTTATGTATCTTTAGCAAAACATGCACGCTCTGATTTCATTATAACACCTATAATACCATGTTTTAATGCAAATAAATGAATTTGAATCTAAATTTGTCTTTTCATCTGATCTATGTAATTCATAAAATATATACACACCGTCGTGGTATAAAAAAATGGTACTTATCTGCTAATGAAATGAATGATTCCAATACCTATGTAACTTAATTTTAAGGTCAAAAGTATCCATACCTACCCAAACCTGGCAAACACCCAAGTGAATTTTAAAGTATTATAAACTTCGCTCAAGAAGGAGCAAAGTTTTACAAAAATTCCATCGATAACAAGTATAATAAATCTATAATCATGCAATTAATAAATTAGATTCAGATGCACACGACTTCGACGTCATTCAACGCCGGAAAATCTTAACACCGCGATTCAGAAAATCGGTCTCAATAAAAAGCACCCTCTATTTGTTACAACATGTACTAAATCATTTCTGTTTTTCAAGGACAACCGTTGTACGGGAGCCATTGTGGAAAAGTTTCCGCGCTAATTGTTTTAGATGGTGGTGGCGCCACTGTAAGGACTACTATACTATTTTAATTTCGTTTATGACATTTAACAATGTTCGCGCCAGGTACCATGGGCGCCATTTTGAAATTGAAACTAAAAGTTAAATATTTTAATAACTGTTCATTTCCGGCTACCCTTTTGTTCGATAAAATTATTAGAAATGATGTTCTATACGAGATAATGGTCTAATAACAAATCACCCTATTTAAAGCTGTAGAGTTTATTTGTTTGGTTGAACGCGTTAATCTCGGGAACTACAGATCTAATTAATAAAAAAATATTTTAGTGTTTGATAGTTCAATTAGGCTGAAGGCTATAAAACATCCCGCTACGATTAATCACAGCCAAACAGAGCGGGTAAAACCGCGTGGCAGTAGCTAGTAGTTGTTAAATAAATTATAAACTTTGCTCGCTGAAGCAAAGTTCTACAAAAATTTGAAAAGAAAAGGCGTATACTTCTTTGATGCAGTGATGAAAACCTAGGCTATCTGATGCTACCGAGGCGTACCTACCTGATTCAACCGCGGAGAATCTTAACACCGCGATTCAGAAAACCGACCTCAATAAAAAGCACCCTCTATCGATCAAACTGAATCGTTCGCAAAGGTCATTGTAAGGGAATCAAAACATGTCCGTCACATTTTGTTACTTAGATGTCGCTATTGTAACTAAAGTGTATGCTACGTAGCTCATGCTTTTTCTAAACCCAATAAGTTGTTTATTTATCCCTAACCAAGGGCGCTTTGCCTTAAACCCAGTTTTTTGAATCGCGGTTTAAATTTGTCAGTCATTTGATTGGGTCGAGCTCGCTAGTTTCGATTTTCGCTTTACTCGCCGCATTTCGTTTCGAAACAAGAATTTTTGAATAACTTCGATAAGTAAAGTAAGCGAAGTTTCTAGTACTTAACAATTTATAACAGTGCTTTCATCCCTTATAATCAAATCTCCTTAATAAACCGTGAAATCTATTTCGTTTTCGTCGCGAAGATAAATGGTTTTGTCTTGGTAGTACCGTTTTACTAAGAAATAAAATGTTTAAAACAAGAAATAAGTAACTGGTGAACCATTTCAAAAAGCAAACTTTGAAAGCGCATACGAATTTATAGTATTGTTGTGTATCTGTGGTATAATCTATGGTCATAGTATAGTCTATGGTGATAGATTATCTATGTGCGTGGCGGAGCCCGCGATTTTGTAAAACAATGGAAGACGAATAAATGTGTGTGTCGATAGCTTTCTCTCTTTTACTTATATTTCGTTTGCTTTAAATAACATACTTAACAAGTATATTATCAAAACAATTGTGGAAAAGGTTTTTCTCTTAGGGTGGCACGTGCAATGTGAATAGTTCCAACAAATTTAAAACAGTGTGCGTATTTCCATGAAAATCTGGCAATTAGCAATATGACCTGTTATAGTATTACAAACTTTGCTCAGAAAGGAGCAAAGTTATACAAAAATTGCGCAATATTTGGATGATAATCCATACAAATGATGCGTGATGATTTAGCCCTGCAGAGCATGTCGCACTTTCATTGTCAGTCATCAAAGAAGACGACTTCGACGTCATTCAATGCCCGAGAATCTTAACACCGCGATTCAGAAAATCGGTCTCAATAAAAAGCACCATCTATTTGTTACAACATGTACTAAATCATTCCTGTTTTTTAAGCACACCCCTTGTACATGTACGGGAGCTATTTTGAAAGAGTATTTCTATTATATTCATTTAACTGTGTGGGAGCCATGTTTTAACTAACACAAATGGGCTAACTCAACCGGAGTAATGCCGGAGAAAACCGGCGTGAAACAACACTTGGTTGTGATTCATTGTTTGTCAAAGTCAAAGTCAAAGTCAAAATCATTTATTTCAATATTAGACCAGGAAGACACTTTTAAACGTCATAATAATCGAACGCCCAATCCTATCCGGCCATCCCCAATCACCAAATCTCCTGATCAACAATTGTATAACCCACAAAAGGTACCAGGCACTTGTAACTTTGTCCTGTTGGTTGCTGTTAGAGCCGTACTATCCCTAAGGCAAAGTAGGCAAGAGGCGGGCGCCAGGTCACAGAGACGCATGCGTCTAACTGCCTATAGAGTGGCGGCGGCGATAAAATTAGGGGCGCCCGTGAAGTGATTGCCTAGGCTGCTCTCTAGGTTTAATTTGCCTCTGCTTACGAGTGTCCATGTCCATCCTTTACACCAGTTAGACTGAAGTTTAATGTAATAGAGAGTCTATTGCCACATACCTATAGTATATGCATAAAGGTATATACATTTTTTTAAACAGTTTTTTGTCAGACTCTTACTGACTAAAAACCACCCCGTTCCTACTTCTGCGCTTCGAGCCGGAGTCCCGGTAACCCGTTAGGTTCTCCGCGGCAAAGGAATGTATTTCAAACTTATAATTAGAAACTATAAGCCCAGGTTTCCTCACGATGTTTTTCTTCACCGTTTGTCAGTGGTGTCTAAATAATCTTAGAAAATACATATAACTCGAAAAAGTCACATTGGTACTTGCCGTTGGTAGGTTTCGCACCCGCACTCTCATGCATGAGAATCGGGACCTCCGGGCCACCACGCACGACACGTATGGTTCACCCGCGCTCGTGAAATGAAAGAACTAAATTATACTTAATTCCTCTTTCTTAAAAATGTATACTCTAAACTAGTCGCGGAGAACCTAACGGGTAACCGGGGCTCCGGCTCGACGTGCAGGAGAAGGAACGGGGTGGTTTTTAGTCAGTAAGAGTCTGACACTCCCTTCCGCCTCACCCAGGCGGGAGCAGTCATTCGATGATTTTCCCCCCTTAAAAAAAAAACTCTAAACTACCTTTTTTAATTAAACTGTCAAACACCAAGTGGTCACCGGTGACCGCAACCTATTGTTCTATAATTGTGTCTACAAAACCGGTACTCGACGAGTTAAATAAAGAATGTTATACTTAAAAGATAGGTTAGTGGTTGTGGTTAGTGACAACGGGTATGTATAAGAGCCCAAACTTTACGAATAAAACTGAAAGCAATCGTTAGATATGTGAAACCGATATTTTCAAGGGGCTTACAACTTTGCTATAAACTTATATGTAACTTAGATAGCTATCCGTATTACTTAGATAAGTTAGTCCTAAGTTAACTTTTAAATCGATAAGTTATAGCGTGGCTGTGTGGTTGTAGAGTGATAGATTGTATTTCAGTGTGCGGTGTTCGGGTAAAATCGTTTTTTTTTGAGAGGGGGGAAATCATCGAATGACTTCTCCCGCTCGGGTGAAGCGGGAGGGAGTGTCAGACTCTTACAAAGTCAAAGTCAAAGTCAAAGTCAAAGCATTTATTTCAATTAAACCATAGTTTGGTACTTTTGAAACGTCAACAAATACAAAATAAATAATAGTCTGTCAGTCAGTCCGTCAGTGAAGCTAGGTGAAGCTAGGTGCTCATTCCAAAACGTAGATTCGAATGGAGAAGAACGAGCAAGAAACTCCATTCGTTACTCTTTTAAAAAGTATGTTCTACAATGTCTCTGATACATATTTCAATACTGTACGCATATGTAAGAACAATGCAAAGACACGCTTGACGCATTATACTAATAACTTACTAAAATAAAAATAAACTGACTAAAAACCACCCCGTTCCTACTCCTGTGCTTCAAACCGGAGCCCCGATAACCTTATACGTTAACGTAGAAGAATATACATAATTAAACGTATTTGTCACATCGCTGCTCTTCTCGTGAGTGTCGCAAAGATTAATTGAATACGTAGCTACTACGTCACCCAAGCGTAGAAATAAGAGTAAACGTGACCAGAACGTCCCATTTTGAACTGGACTGTCCCTTTTTATAATTACGAATCCCGTTGTCCCCGAATTAAAGTCTGGGACGCAAAATTGTCCCATTTTTGGAAACCACGCGAAAATTTCAATAGTCGAACATCGTGGCGCGGGTTCGATTCGCACGGAACAACTCTTTGTGTGATCAACAGATTGTTACGGGTCTGAGCGTCATGTGTATGTGAACTTGTATGTTTGTAAACGCACCCACGGCACAGGAAAACCCTAGTGTGGGGCAATGTTTAAAAAAAATATGAAACAGTCTTTAGCCTGTTTATATGAACGCGATAAACTTCAAAACTACCGAACGGATTTTAGTATAGTTTCCACCAATAGATTGTGTGATTTCTGGGAAAGGGTTCGGTATATAATTTATCATGCAAATCGCATAACTTAAATAAATAAGCTAAGTTTAAATATCCCTAAAAACCTACTTTTCGTAGCCGCCGTCGCTCTCTCAGTGTTGCAGCTTTCCGTCGGTCGACTGCCGCCGTTTTTCTCTTGCAAGCTTTGCAAGCCCAGGCCAAACATCTTCTGCTGGGCCCTAAAACGTGTTGGACATGCCCATCATCCTTATCTTCCATAATTTCCCCGTTTTTGTGCTCATTTTTCACTTGGCAACACTGATCGTTTAAAAGTTCTTTTTCGTCCTTTTGAAATTCGTAATCTTTGTAGTTATTGTTGTTGTAGCTGTCGTACATTCTGTTGTAGCTCATTTTTAACGGTTTTTATTTCGAATTAAGTTGGTTTGTTTGTCTTTTCAACTCGTACTTTAGGTTTAAAAATATTCATAAGTATGTGGGTCCTTATTGTAAGTGATTATATTTTACGGAATATTGTTAACATTCTGAACTTATTTTGTACTTAATTAAATTGAGCAAAATACACTTTTTATCACTTAATAAGCACTTTCTTCCATAATTATTATAATAGAACAATTATTTTATAATTAAAAACGTGTGATATAAAATAATGTCCATTGCACTGACACGACACCAATGAAAGAAAAAGAACGAGAACCGAAACGCGCGCCAAATTCTGACAGTTCACCGAATCGTAACTTTTTTTTTCGGGTGACGCGCCCGGCGACACAGGCGACACTGAATTCAGCCGAGGGTTGATCACAGTTAGAGATTTACAAAATATGCTTGCTATTAATAAACTGTCTAGCTGTGTAGCTCTCACGTCGTTGAGAGATGCCAATTTATTAGTGTTTGGATTGAAATTGATGCCGGCAATATATTCCCTTTAAATTTGTTGCGACGAAAGCTCTCCGACATTTTTATATACGCGTCTCGTTTTCGTGTTCCGAATCGATTTTTAATGTGGCTTTTTCTTAACCATTCGTTTTATTTTTTGTTTTAACAATATATTTAATTCTGAGTGTCGTTATTTTTTAAAGGATAGTTTTGAGCAAAGAGGTTAGGTGTAAATCTTTTTTGATCCAAGGAGGTTGATAGCTATATGGCGTATTGCTGTTTGTTAGTTCACAAAACGAGGTTTTATGAGAGAAATAAGTAAATATCGTGGCGATAGTTAATTTTATTTATATTTAAACTCTCAATTTATTTGATGTTTGGAAAGAGCTTGTTAGCTATTTCCTGTTTGGCTTCAAAGATAAATTTTAAACACTTTATTTGATTCTTTTTAGAATTTTTATTTTGTTTTACGATTTATTTCTTGTCTTCCTAACTGGCTCGTTGGTTTAATGGTCGTTATTGTAGATTGTGGGCTTCTGGATTTAATTCGTCAAGTATAATTCACGAGGTGTTCCTTTTAAAAGACATTAGGCACAGAAACCATTTCTTTTTGTATGTTCTGTTTTAATGATTCGATAAATTAAATTTTGAAAAATATACAGCTTAAAATTAACTTAATATAATATTAATATTATGAATACAAATGACTAAAAACTGGAACTGGAATGAACTCACTCAAGTACGTTAAGACACTAAACCCACCTTTTTTGAGGGGGAAAAATCATCGAATGACTGCTCCCGCCTGGGTGAGGCGGGAGGGAATGTCAGACTCTTACTGACTAAAAACCACCCCCGTTCCTACTTGGCTCTTCGTGCTGGAGCCCCGGCAACACGTTAAATCTTCCGCGGCTTCGTATCGGCATCAGCCCTATTGGGCCCCATCCGTGGTGGTCTGATGGCTCTTTGAGGCGCGCGCGGAACGCAACGCGCCGTACGCTCGGGTCTGGTTCTGGTTGGGCGGCGAGCCACCTATGCTCGCTATCCGCAGACCCGTGCTTACGGTAGCCGGAGATCGTGAGTAGATATAGTTAAGCTAGTTAACTATGAACCTATGTACCTACTCGTTTCGATTAGCCTTCTGTCTTCGAAATTGAAGGAACAGAGATTACAACTATGTTATATCAATACATAGTATAAAACAAAGTCGCTTTCGCTGTATGTCCGTATGTATGCTTAGATCTTTAAAACTACGCAACGGATTTTGATGCGGTTTTTTTTAATAGATAGAGTGATTCTTAAGGAAGGTTTGTATGTATAATACATGCATATTGCACCCGTGCGAAGCCGGGGCGGGTCGCTAGTCTATAATATAAAAATAAACCGATTTCGTTATTTATTTTTTTGTTGGGTTTGTTATTTTTAGGAGATGGTTCCTATGTAAGAAAAAAGGGAAAAGAATAAATATGCGAAAATTTTTTTCAAGATGAAACAGGGTTCGCAGGTTCTTCTAGTACCTAATATTATAATAATATCTCCTGAATAGTGGTTAGTCTGGTTAGATAATAATAAATGATAAATATGTATCTATATAAATAAATATAATAAGTTGGTCTGATCTTGATGGAAATCGATCGGAAAGATTTATTCACATAAAGTATTTTGCTGTTCAGGTTTTCAAAATAGATAATAATACCTAACTTATAATAATCTGTCTGACAGAGCCATAAAAAATCACAGCTGATAAAAAATAAAATCTTCACAAGCAGCGCCTCTTACGGATTTTTACCAAACTAACACATAACTGGGGCCGCCAAAAACTGTGACACTGATCCACCAAATTATACATTACGGTGATAGTGTCGCTAGTATCTTCGTGAAAAAGTTATTTTGTTCAAGTTATTAATTAGTTCCTATTTTGTCCACCCGCATAGTTATGTTGGTAGCGCTGTTACAGTTACCGTACTGGGGTTCGCGCATGCGTATTTGTAACTTCAAAGAGCCTGGTTCACATAGGAAGGAACGGAGAGGTCTTGTGAATAAATATTTTAGATATTTATTTATTTATGTGTTATTTCTATAAATTTTGTTTGTGTATTATATTAAAATTGTGTTTCATAGAAATGTAGCGTCCATTGCATAAGGGCTACGTCTCAATAGTAGATATTAATAACCATGATGTGATTAAAAATTGGATACTGAAACGTATTTAGAAGGCACTCTACTTATTTATTCGAAGTTCTTAGAAGAAGCAAATAGTTTAAATCAGCAATTGGCATGTAAGGCTGCATATCGATAAAATAAAAAATAAAATTGAGATTATTTGCCCCAATCACGTATTATCTTCATTTTAGTACCTACTTTTTTACAAGAAATATATATAAAAATAAGGAAATACATAAATATTTACAAGATTTTTGCCCCAATTAATTGTTTGAATATATTTACAGAAAAAAAAACTCAAGAATTAACAAAAAAAATACACAGCAATAAAAACCAAACATTCACGATACACACAAAAACCCACCCCAGCTCTTAACAATGTCATAAAAACAATTTTTACAACATAATAACGACTCCATGCATTTCTTATTCCTCCAGACAAACATCCCTCGCGATTGGGGTGTGAACGGTTCGGCAAGACACTTATAACATTAAAATTAACAAAATAACAGTTTTTGTACATAAATAACGTTGAAGTTTATTAAAAAAACGTTTTAAAACATATATTTTATGTCAGTGTTTTAGATTATTAAAGAAAACGTGTGGTTTTTGATGTGTTAACCTAAGTTTACGTGGTCGATCAAAAATGTCGTCTGCGACCTACCTAAAGATTTTCTTTTGACATTATTTTTAAATTGTCTATTTTTGAATTTCGTTCGTATTAATTCGGCGTCGAATTTTATTTTCTTTTTTTGAGAGTGTTTTGTTTTTATGTCGTGTTCATTTTTTTTGCCTTGTGATTCGAAACTGAAGTGGCAGCGTTAAAAATTATAATTTGTTCGTAATCATATTTTGGTGGTCTACGATTGGGGATACGGCATAAATGTGAGTATTTAATTTTACACTAAATATATTAGTGTATTTCTGTTTTTTAAAATAAAGCATTGATAACGTAAAAAAATATATTAATTTGTCAAATTAAGTGTTAAAATATTACATCACAATTATGTATTAAAAAAATTACATCACATTAAAAATATATAGCTGTCACTTTTATTTTTTTTAATTTCAAATTCAAAATCTCGAATAGAGATGTGAAACATTAAAATTAATACGCAATTATAATCGATTGTATTTGAATATCGATTTTGAAACTAGATTTTATTTTTATTGGAGCGTTAAAATTGAAATTGCCTGTGACCTATTTCGTAAGCCGGCTACTTAGACATGACCTAGGTCAGCTGACCTGTCTAGGTACAACGTTGCAACCTATAAACTCTACAGTTTATTTTATGTACTTTTAGTGCTAACTTTATGACCTAGTATTTGGTATTGCTAAAGTTTTGAATATTAAATTACATAATGTTACGGCCTTTAAGCAGCGAAGTGGTGAACAGAGACGTATTTGTAATATAAGTAACATTTTCTTTACGCTAGTAGGTATATTATCTGTTAATGAATCCCATGTAAAAGAGGGTTAGTCTTGCCATATATCGGATACTTTTATCATTCTAACTTTATCTTATTATTTATAAAATTAAATGCGTATAAAATTAATACCTAAAATTAATTATTATGTTTTCGGCTTACTCACGTAAGCAACTGTTAGACAAGGAACAGTAGCAGCGCGACAGTTGCAGCGTCGCGGGTCGCGGAATGCTGCTCATGAATATGAGCCTCTAGTATGGCTTGAAACTAGTCGAGTTCCTCGTCAAACAGTTACGTGTGTAAACCGAAAACATAATAATTAATTTAGTATGTCTCACGAAAGTTATAATATAAAAATATGTATCTAAAATGGTAAATACTACATAACAGTCACCTATTTTCTAGACAAGTAAGTACATAACAGCTTTTTTGAAATAGCTATACATAAAGTACTAAGTAGGCACCTACTTACGATATTACGTCTTTTTTTTTTTAAGGGGGGAAAATCATCGAATGACTGCTCCCGCCTGGGTGAGGCGGAAGGGAGTGTCAGACTCTTACTGACTAAAAACCACCCCGTTCCTTCTCCTGCACGTCGAGCCGGAGCCCCGGTTACCCGTTAGGTTCTCCGCGACACGATATTACGTCTAGGTAGGCTTTTTTGAAAGATAGAAAATTAAGCTAAGCGTGTTTTTTTTACCTTGGTACGTACCTACATGGCCGTTTCACCTTAAGCGCTTACAGGCGCGTTATTAATTAGCACAGGAGAAGACACTAGTCTGAAATAACAATATTTTTGTAAGAACTTGCAACTCCACTGTGGCGACACATGACATGTCAAATGACAGCTCAAGCACATAGACCATCGATAAAAACAAGTCAACGAATGACGTCACAAAAATCCTACATCGTACAAGTGAAGTTTACGTGCGAATTAACACGCATAGAAAATTCCAACGAACAACTGTTGGGCAGAAAGCCCACCAGACACGATCACCTCGCCTGGTCGGAGGATCCTCATTTTTTGATCTTAGGGAACTTTACTCTCTGTTCCCTAAACCACCATCACCTCTGCCTACTAAGTATGTAATACATATAACATACAATGTTAATATTTGACGAACGGTAGAGAAACTTCGCTCCGCGCTGTCAAATACCAAATTAATGGCATGGGCATCCATCCATACACACATCCATCTACTTATCTTTAGTATTCAATATTTCAATATTCTCTATCTATTCGTATTACCATAAATATAATATGAGCTGCCTGGTTAGGGTAGTTTTCCAAAATAGGATCAAGTGTGGGAGAGCCATGCTTCGGCACGAATGGGCCGGCTTGAGCGGAGTGATACCACGGCCGAGCAGAAAACAGACGTGAAGCAACTCTTGCGTTGTGTTCCATCGTGGTAGTGAGGTTACCGGAGGCCCAAATACCCTTCCGTTTCCCAATCTCCCCAATTCCTGAATCTCCAACGATCCTCAAACTCCGAATCCTCAAAAGGCCGGTAACGCACTTGTAACGCCTCTGATTCAGGTGTCTATGGGCGACGCCGATTGCTTACCATCTATGATATGTCTGCTCGTTTAAAGGCTTATACCATTAAAAGGCCCTGTCTTGCACATGCTGAACTGGTCCCATTTCACCGCAGACTTGGGACATGAACATGTATCCATCAGTCCCTACTAATACAATGACTTATTTGTTCATGCCACATGATTTTTTGGCGTGAATTATTTTTTCCGTTCTTTCTTACTGACTGATAAAAAGCAAAAAATAACTACATATTATACAAAATTAAACACAAAATTACTAAAATTAACAAACGCACTAGTCGCCCCTGTAATATGTAAACGTTTCCCTCGGTTTCCCTGGGATTCCATCTTCAGATCCAGACTTCATGACAATGGGACCAAATGACAAGCATACCCTTTCAAACAAAACAATAATTTTTGAAATCGGTCTAGACGTCCTCGAGTAACAAACATAAAAAAACATACAGTCGAATTGAGAACCTCCTCCTTTTTTTTTGAAGTTAGTTGAAAATCACCCTGTTCCTAGAAGTCTAGGTTGGATATCGCAAAATGTATCTGTATGGAAGAGTAATGCCTTGGCTCGACCGGAGTAATACCACGGCCTCACAGTACACCGGCGTAAAACAACACTTGCATTTTTGCGTGTAAATGATGGTTCCCAAGGCGCTATACCTAAATCCCCCAAAAGGTCCTAGCGCAATTGAAAATTCCCTGGTGTTGTGTTTGCGCTCCGATTGCTTATACCATCACGTGAACGGTCTACTCGTATATCGCCCTAACTATATAAATAAAAATGAATTTCCGTTCGTTACTCTCGCTAAAACTCGAGAACGGCTGAACCGATTTGGCTAATTTTGGTTTTGAAATGGTCGTGGAAGTCGCTCCAGGGAAGGTTTAAAATGTGAGAATTTTTTAGGCGGCACGAAGCCTGCCAGGTCAGGTAGTATAATAATAATATAAATTTAGTATACCTTTTAGCAAAGGCGTGTTGTCAGCGTCTCTCTTCTAATTCTTCTGTTTTAATTTTTTCAACTCAATCTTTTTATTACTTCCACTGCCACACCTTTATTGTCTTTCTTATTTTTTTTTATGGCATAAGCCGGTAAACGAGCAGACGGATCACCTGATGGTTAGCATGGACACCTGGAACACCAGAGGCGTTACAAGTGCGTTACCGGCTTTTTGGGGATTAGGAGTTTGAGGATCGTTGGGGATTCAGGGGTTGGGGAGATTGGCCTCCGGTAATCTCACTTACACGACGAAACACAACGCTAGCGTTGCTTCACGTCAGTTTTCTGCTCGGCCGTAGTATCACTCTGGTCGAGCCGGCCCATTCGTGTCGAAGCATGGCTCTCCCACATTTATATTTTATTTACGCTGCATTGTGGCTGGTGCTGAATAAAAGTTCTTTCTTTCTTACTTTCTTTCTTTCTAAAAATGTCTTTTACATACTCCCATGTCACAGAGGTCTCTTTCCTTTAACATTCCTCACACAATCCCTCCCCATTATCTTTAGCCATCGTCTTCCTTTCCAATCTTCTCATCTGTCAACGTTTAAAATGCATCAATCGTTTTCTCACGAGAGGTTCACCCCAAAAAAAAAAACAAAAGGAGGTATCATGCGTAATGTGTTACGGAGCCGACGGTGTCAGTTGCTCTAGTTATTACGTTGGTATACATTTTGTTAAATAAGTATAGATATATAGAATTTTAAAAATAGTAGTTTCACCAATCCGTAAGTTTAAAAAATAAACGGTAACGCGGCTGAACGGATTTACACAATAATTATTTTATGAACAACGTTTAAAAAACCGATTTCAAACCGAATTGCTGCGATGCGATTTCGTGCGACAAGGCGTCTCCCAGGGTGACTATTCTTTCGACGACCGTCAACGGTTGACTAAACGTATTTTAAATTGAAAACTTGGTCGTGGCATGGATTGTAAAAAGAAGTGTGCACTTCTGTTATTGCTTAGGAGATACAGGAAAAAGAAACAAAGAAGATTTTAGGATGATAAGATTTTGATGTCCAGGAAGCTCGCACATTTTTGCGATGTGACGTCGCATCGCAGTTTTGTGTACGAGCCCTTAAGTTGATTGAAGTCAATATTGACGTCTTCTTTTCCTTCTGCAATATCAGCCATGGCCTTATCACAAACTCTTTTCTCTTTCATACCACTCTTGACACAATATATCCATTTTTACTTTATCTGCCCTGATGATTAAGCCAAGGTTACACTAAGGCACACACGTGTCGCCACCGACGTTGGGTGAAGTAGTGCGGCGTTGCCGGACTTGGTACATTGGTACTTGGACATTAGTCGCGCGTTGTCACTATCATCAGCCGCCATCGTTTGACATGTCGCCGATATATGTCTGCAACATTTTACATTTGTCGCCTAGTGTATCTTTGGTTTTATAGTTTGAAATACACATAAGTAAGGCATCCGGCATTTTGTAGGCAAAGCCACTAGCAAAATCTACACAGACATGAGTGTGGGAGAGCCATGCTTCGGTACAAGTGGGCAGGCTCGACCGGAGTGATACCACGGCCTCACAGAAAACCGACGTGATCGTGAGGCAACGATTGCGTTGTGTTTTGTCGTGTGAGTGAGGTAAAAAACCTCCCCCAATCTCCCCAATTCCTGAATCCCCAACGATCCTCAAACTCCTAATCCCCAAAAGGCCGGTAACGCACTTGTAACGCCTCTGGTGTTCCAGGTGTACATGGGCGACGCCGGTTGCTTACCATCAGGTGATCCGTCCGCTCGTTTAGGCTTATACCATTAAAAAATAAAGAATCTGGCTAAGATAATCCTAGTTAAGAAAAAAACAAAGCAAAAGACTGCCCTTTTCATATTCACCGCAAAATTATGCCAAAGATGTACAAGCAAAGCAAAAAATTCGCATAAAGCATTCCT